TCATATTAATGCACATTCTTATTGGCTTTTATCAGGAAGACAATGTGAGCCTCCATGAGATACTATTTGTCTCACTCTTGGGGTATGACAATATGATGTATATGATCCATCATGTTCATTTCCTTCACGAGTCCTTTGCCTTATCACAATAGGCACAAGATGATGGTAATCATATGAAAACTCAACATGATTTGTTTATTACTGAAGGTTTATTTAATGATGTCACCATGACCTATATCCATTAGTAATCCCACAGGTTCTTAAAGTAACACTGTCTGATTTTTCAAAATTTCTACTGAACTTCAGTAAAAAGTCTGTCTAAAAGGTATTTCTTTGTTCTAATTCTTTACTGCCTTTCTATCCATTTTAAGATTCATTTTAAGTTTTAGCCACATGAAATAAAATAAAAATTTAAATACAATCTTTGTCAGAGAGGTTGGATTCTCATGATTTTTATTTTAATTTTTTTCTGAGACAGGGTCTTGCTAGTTGCCCAGGCTAGAGTGCAGTGGCGTCATCGTAGCCCATTGCAACCTCAAACTCCTGGGCTCAAGGGATCCTCTTGCCTCAGCCACCTGAATAGCTGGGACTATAGGCGTCCCCCATGATGCCCAGCTAATTTTTCTATTTTTATAGAGACAAGGTCTCGCTCTTGCTCAGGCTGGTCTTGAACTCCTGAGCTGAAGCTATCCTCCTGCCACAGCCTCTCAGAGTGCTAGGATTACAGGTGTGAGCCACCCCACCTGGCCAATTCTCATGACTTGATTTGGTTTTGAAATATTACTTAGAATGAAAACCAAACCCAGATAAAAGTCATAGCTGTGTTTTTTCTTTTTTACTGAACCAAATCATTACTGTGCTTATTGTTTTCGCCAGGTACCAAGCAAGTTTAATTTCTATGAAGTTACTACGAACACCATGTGGGATAAACTCAATGCCCATGGCACCCAGCAAAGAACTCAGTATTTGGCCAAGCGCTCCCTGGGGAAAACAGCTGCATTGATAAAAAGACTAACCAGAAACATCCCTAAAGACCATTTATTGATGAGGCCTCACTTTTCAAGTGCACAAGCAAAGAGCTCTCACCTGAGCCTACTGTCTGGGCGGCATAGGCAGGTGTGGCAATAGCTCTAGGGTTAAGTTTACAGGTCCACACGGTTTAAATCTGTTCAAAATCATGCAAGAGAGGGTTTGCAAGAGAGACACATAAAGCGCTACATTTTGAAGTGTTTAGTTTGTCCCAGGAAAGTGCTTTTTGTGTCCAGATGACACATGAAGTTAAATAGAAGACACTTGTTTCCATTACTAACCACAGCGTACACGTGGCGATAATACTCCATAGACTTCAGCGCTACTTACAGGTTACAAAGGATTCCGCTAGGCAGGACCTAACTTCCGAGGGACTCTCTCAGGGCACTGCTGAGGACTTCCCCAGACACACCACCGTTCCTTGCCTGAAACGGTGAGCCTCAGGCTCTTTGAAATAATGGAAGTTATTTTGGAATACCAAAACATACAGATGACTGAATACATTTTCTCACCTTCTGTATTACTTTGCTAGGGCTGCCACTACAAAGTACCGCAGACTGGGTGGCTTAAACAGCAAAACTTTCGGCCGGGCGTGGTGGCTCACGCCTGTAATCCTAGCACTCTGGGAGGCCGAGGCAGGCAGACTGCTCCAGGTTCGGAGTTCAAAACCAGCCTGAGCGAGACCCCATCTCTACTAAAAATAGAAAGAAATTAATTGACCAACTAAAATATATATATACAAAATATTAGCCGGGCATGGTGGCGCATGCCTGTAGTCCCAGCTACTCGGGAGGCTGAGGCAGGAGGATCACTCGAGCCCAGGAGATTGAGGTTGCTGTGAGCTAGGCTGCCGCCACGGCACTCACTCTAGCCTGGGCATCAAAGTGAGACTCTGTCTCAAAAAAACAAAACAAACAAACAAAAAAACAGCAAAACTTTATCTCACAGTTCTGGAGTCTGGAAGTCCAAAATGAAGGTGTCAGCAGGGTTGATTCTTTCTGTAGATTCTTTCTTGTAGATGGTTGTCTTCTTCCTGTGTCTTCACATGATCTTCCCTCCGCAGATGTCTGGGTCCAAATTTCCTCTTCTTTTTTTTTTCTTTTGAGACAGAGTCTCACTCTGTTGTTCAGGCTAGAGTGCAGTGGCATCATCATAGCTCACTGCAACCTCAAACTCCTAGCTCAAGCGATCCTCCTGCTTCAGCTCCTGAGTAGCTGGGACTACAGGTGTGTACCACCATGCCTGGCTAAATTTTTCCCTTTTTGGTAGAGAGGAGATCTAGCTTTTGCTCAGGCTGGTCTGGAACTCCTAAGCTCAAGCAATCATCCCCCCTCGGCCTCCCAGAGTTTGAGGATTATAGGCATGAGCCACTGTGCCCAACCTCAAATTTCCTCTTCTTATAAGGACACCAGTCATATGGGATTACAGGCCCCCCTGATGACCTAATTTTAACTACTTCTGTAAAGACCCTGTCTGCAAGTATAGCATCTGGGAGTTAGGGCTTCAACATATGGATTGAGGGGAGTGGGAAGGGGACACAGTCAGTCTATAACACCTTCCTGTAAGTGTTTTGGTTTCAGACAGCACAACCTCTTAGTCACTTTGTTTCTGGTTTTCTCCATAAAAGAATAAGAATAACACAGATTAAAGAGTGAGAAGAGTCCAGGCGGTGGTTCATGCCTATAATCCTAGCACTCTGGGAGGCTGAGGTGGGAGGATCACTTTAGCTCAGGATTGTGAGACCAGCCTGAGCAAGAGTGAGACCCTGTCTCTACTAAAAAATAGAAAAAAATTAGTCGGGCATAGTGGTGTGGGCCTGTAGTCCCAGCTATTCGGGAGGCTGAGGCAGGAGGATCACTTGAGCCCAGGAGTCTGAGGTTGCTGTGAGCTAGGCTGATGCCACAGCACTCCAGCCTGGGCAACAGAGTAAGACTTTGTCTCAAAAAAAAAAAAAAAAGAGTGAGAAGATCTGAGAGAGCTAGTTCATGCCTGTATTTCTTTTGACTCCTTTAAACCACCAAACGAATTACTACATTAGACCGCAACTAGAAGGCCGCAGCATTAAGAGGGACAGGCCAGGATGAGGTGGCTAACTCCAGGGTGTGGGGCTGGACCGGCGCATTGGCTGGGCGGCAGACCTTGCAGAACCTAGCCCAAATGCAGGCCCGTTCACACCACCACATATCTATAATGAAAGCCATCCTCGTGGTGATAATACTGCAACATGAAGGACAGGACCAGATACTTAGAGAGGTTGCCTTGAGGTTGCCTTCACTTAACAAGTGAAGGAAAGTTGATTCCGCCTTGAACTTTAGCCACCTGGCAATAGAGGCTTTGGTTTTTCCTCACACCACTGAACACCAAGGAGGAAGGCTCTCAGGCAATCCCTCAGAAACAGGATTTTTTTCCTTAAATGCGACTCAGTAACAAGACCCCCCAGCACTATTCAATCTGCTCTTCTTGAAGCAAGTGAGGGAAGTTACTTAAGTTTTGACTCTTGCTCGGAAGATAAAAATGGCCTTAAAATCGCCAGAGATTTGTAACCTAGTACATGCAAAATAACTATAAATGATGTGCTTTTGCTTTCGACCTGGCAACTTTTTTGTTACATTTCCCTTCTGCACCAACATCTAGAGAAGAGGCTGAGGAATCATGGGAAGTGGTGACATAAGGCAGGGAGGGGAGGTTTACTTTTAAGCAGTGGGCAGGAGAGTTCCTTTTGAAGATGAGAAAAACACATTAGCAACGCCGCTTGAACCCTGAGACTCAGTGAAGTCACCTTCATTCCTGAGAGGAGGTTATATCGTCTCATTTGAAGTTATTAAGGACAGGGTGGACTTCCTGTCACGGTTCTGAGAAAACCCAAAATAGACCATCCCAAACTCAGCAGAAAGCCTCCGACGCCATCTGTTGCTATGTGGGAACATTTGACTGGGGGGGAGGAGACAGCTGCCAACCGGGAGGCCCTCGGACTCACGCACAGCCTGCTTAGGAGCCTGCGGGAGGAAAGGCACTCCTGGGAGGCTTCGCAGGGAGGCTCGGGCTATTATGTTGCTTAAAAATGTGAGAAAACATGGAAGTGGCACATTTATGGAATTTCACCAAAGCAAGATAGAGCAAACAAAGGCATCAGGGAAGCTTGAAGTGAGGTGTGTTTTAATGCTCCTCTGAAGGGATTCCCCTCCCTGGGCGCACAGCCACTGTCTGATGGCTGTTTATTTGCTAGCCTGTAATTAAACTGAATGTCCATGTAAACCAGCCTCTCCAGAACCACCTCTCGCTCACCCTTTCCGCTACCACAGGGGAATTCAACTCCGTTTCAGCAATGTTACGGGAAAAAGATTTCCCTGGAAAGAAAATACTTTTTTAGAAACCTAACACGTGGCAAAATTCACGATTGTCTTTATCCGGGGCGAGCTTTGGCCACCAGCAGCCACTGTCCCTGAACACCAAACGTCCTCTTCAAGCAGGAACTGGTGCAGGAGCAGACAGAGGCCTGGGAGAGGCGGGTCAACAGCAGCTCAATTAGACCATCTGGGCTTTAATAAAGACGAACGCGACCCCACGGGGTGGCTTTGCAGCAGGAGCAGGAAAACTCCTCCAGCCTCCAAGGCCGGTCTCTCCGGCCCGTCCTGTGACTTCAAGCTGGCCCACAGTGACAGAGCCCCGGGGAGCAGTTAGCCCCGGGCAGGGAGAGAGCTGCGTCCCGCCTGCGACGCACGCGGTGGCCGCGCTCCGGCGCCGCTGTGCCGCCCGCGGCCGGTAGGTGGCGCACCAAGCCACCGCCTGGGCCGCGCAAGCCCGGGAGCCGCGGACAGCCGGCCGGGCGAGGGTTTTGATTCATAAAAAACATAAATTCTACTGAGGAACAATAATAACAAAGGAAATTGACTACTACCGGGCACCACAGAGATAAATTTGTAAAGCCCCAAAATCGAGTTATTTGAGATTAATTTGCTAAATATGGGTACCTGTGCGATGTAAGGGTGCATGGCAGCGCATTTAGGTTTTGCAGCTTCTAAATGCTCCTCTTTAGGGTGACTGCACTCCGTTGTGTGGGCGCCAGAGAACTCTGTCCCCACCTCCAAGCTGTGTAAACAAAGTGAGACGAGAATAATCACACATTGGGAGAAAGGCAGGGAGAATCCACTGAGGGGAGAGGGGGAGCCCCAGCTACAAAACGACCCTCTGTTTCAGCCAACAAACTACCTCTAAAGTACTCCAAGATCAATGTTAAAGGCTTTATTCATGGACGCACAGCAGCTACGCCTGAGCCAAGCACTTTCCAGGAGCTTCTTGTAGTAGAATCCTCATCTCTTAGTAAAACAAATAAGATCTATAACAATGTTCATATGCTTACCTAAGCTTTTTAAATCCATGAAGGTGCATTTCTAATAGGTTCCAAACTGACAAATTTGGGCACTGCCAAATCTAGAAACTTTGCTCATCCTTTGAGCAAACAAAATGTTCAGCAAGCAGATGTAAAAATTCCTTTTATGAAAATGCAGCCATCCCATTCTCCTCAGTGTAGCTCCAGAGCATACATTATATGTTTGCACAAATGTGTAAATTTGCATAAACATGGGTTGCACACGCACACACATATTAATTCAAATATCAATGCATGTGTGTACATATACGGGTATATATGCAGTCTGTGTACCACTCTCCTCTATTGTTTTCAGCGTAACTGATTTTGGCACCAGCTCTTTAGCACTTTGGAAGGGCCTTCATTAGCACTGGGATAGTATCCAAAAAGAATCCAGAAAAATCAACACATGGCTGCTCTTGTTCTCACGATAAATGACAGCTTTCCTGGAAAACAACAACAGTCAAGAAGCAAAACAAAAACCAAAAAGCAACAAGAGTAGCAATAACATGAATAGAGGAAGTCAGACATCACTAACACGAATTTTTTTCTTAATTTTAATTTATTTATTTATTCAATTTTTACAACTGTCTTCCTTGGCCACTAAGCCTTCTGGTACTTTTATACAATTAAAAATATAAATAGCGAAAATATATTAAGAACCCTAGGAAAAACCAACAACCACACAGGCTTGTGTCCCTTTGTAGACACACACATGCTAGAGATCAGTATGGCATAAGCTGTCCTTTAAACTGTATCAGCCCCCAAATGGAACCTTCCACGGAATAATCCACAGTTCTTGGGGACCAGAGTTCTGAAGAGATGAGACTTTCTTGGAAAACAGAATCTCCTGAATTACCTGAAAATCTCATCTTGAAACCGTCAGTAGGGACTCTTGGGTTGTTCAGATGCCATGAGAATATGCAGGGAAGTAGTGATTTCTAAACTAGTCAAAAACCCAGTAATATCCAATGTGTGTGCATATGTGACTACACCCTCATATCCATGCCTTAATAGGTAAAAAATAAATCACACTCTGAAGTAAAGCAGTAACCAAAGTACAGAAGACTTTGATTTAAAGGGTTAATTCCATTGCACTTCAGCTGTCAAAACAAGAGTAGAAAATTGAAGTGTGCATGGCCCTTCAAGGCTAGTGGCCCTGCCCAGGAGGCCAGCCACTAAGGGAGAAAACACCTCTGGGTCTCAAGAAAAGAGAAGTTATCTACTCCTCTGCTAGCTCTTGGCCTTCTCTTGCCTCAGTTTCTCGGTTAGATTTTCTCAGTTCGAGTTGTTTGCATTGGAGGATCTTGAAAGTTCTCAAGGGAAACAGGAAAAGGAACAGGAAAGCAGTGAAATGGGTTTTTTCAGAGGCGGTGAGCAAGTATGCAGAATTTCTAGGCTCAGACTTCAGAACAGGAAAAGGCTGAGTGCAGCATGGGCTGGAGCAACCTTTCTGGGGAGCTCTACGCCACGCTGGTGGGGAGAGTCTTAAGGAAAAGAAAGCTGGACATAAGTAGGTGGCAGGAGAAGCGTGTGAAAGCCAAATCGTGGACTTTAGAGATCCTAGAAGTGTGGCTCTGGAGCACTCAAACCACAGCAGCAGTCTGAGATTGTGGATCACAGCAGAGAGAAAGCAAAGCATCTCCGAATTCATTCATTTGTTCCACAAACATACATTAAGTGCTTTTGATGTGACAGGCACCATGTTAAGTGCTAGGGCATGCAAGAGTGAGCAAGATATATTTCTTCTCAGTGCCTTCCTGACTTAGCAAAATGGCCACCATTTTGTCGGTCTTCAAACTCAGTCAATGCACAAAATCCTCTAACTCAGGAGGCAGGAATTAAAAACCTTGTGAGTCTTTGGGCTGAGAGGTAATCAAGCCCCAGAGCTGAGTATTCCTACAGTGGTGTGTGCCTGGCCAGCACCTTAAACTGTCTTAGAGTCGGCTGCACACTAAATGCACACCCTCTTGGGGCAAAGCTGTTATTCCAAACTACAGCTGAAGCATCCTTTGACAACACTTCATCGTTAGAAATGGCTCCACTTCAGCCTATTGCTGATAATTATTATGAATAAGCTAACACAGTCTCATGTTTGACACAATTGTCTTTCTCTCCAATAAGGGCCAGAAAGCCGATTGAAAAGTTACCAAAAGGAGGAGAGATTCCAAGTAGAACCAAGGCTACTTCTCAAAAGGCTATTCAATAACGCTTCTCTGTTTTGTCTCCCCCTAAAATGAGAATAGATGCAGACTGGTGTTTGGCAGGGAGACCAATGTCAACACTCTCTATATTTACTTATTTATTGGCAGTTTGGAAGGCAACCACCATTTATGGTCCTTCATTCCCAAATAGAGGGAGTGATGGTTCCTGCCAACAACGTCTCTGAGCCACCTGACTGGCCTCTCTCTGCACAAGCCAAGAGAGGAATGGGTCCAGGACATTAATTGTTGGCCGCCATGTTTATAACACAGTTAACATTGCCTATACTCTAAATGTCCCCAACTGGAGAAGATAGTGGGCTGCAAGCTCCCTGAAATGGTTTAGCTCTCACAGAAGCAAGGCTTGGAAAGACAGAATCTCACTATGTCCACACCTAGTGACACAACTCCACTACAGTTAAGCTTGTACTGGTGTTCTGTTTGGAAGGTACAATTGGAGTATAAGGTGAAAACCTTAGAGAGGGTCCCAAAGAGTTTTTCATCCACATGGATGATACTATGTTTAAGAAAATTGTCCTTCTGAGAAAAAAAACGTCAAATAAGTCAGGATTTGTTTCAATGGAGAAAGAGAAAACCAGGATGAGGATGCAGGACCTTTAGAATGATCATGGAAGAGTGAGATTATCTTTTAATGAGAGTCAACAGCTAGTCTCAAGTTCCAGCAGAGCTAGAATAAGAGAAATCAGAAAAGTCTACAGCCAGTAGCCCTTAGTGGTTATGGAGTCTGACCCCTTCATTTGACAGATGATGAAGTTTATTTTCTTAAGAAAAGATGCTGGGCTAGAAGTAGATCCCCTAAGTCTAAATGGTGTGTTAGAGTCTCACAGTTGGCTGACACCAGCACCAGAAGGATTAGTTTGTACGTTATTCGAAGCACAGACATGTCACCAACGGTGCATATGCCTCAGGTTAAATTCTAGGGAAGCAAGTTTGATCGGTCAGCAGCATTGCCCATCCCTTACGAGGAGTCAAGAGTCCTCCTGAATCTTTAAGATAGGACAAGACAACTCATCATGGACTGGCTACTACGGTGCTAAAGAAAACCAGCTGACTTTTGGAATAGGGAGTAGGGCAAGTTCAGCCAGCCTAAGCCGTAGGAGAGTGCAGTTTTGCTAAGTGCTAGAGCGAGCTACTTATGAAACCCAGAGAGCCTTCTAGAGCAGCTGCTCAGCTGCAGCTTCCCAGGTTGTCCACGCTTATGGGCAATTTCACGGGAAGCAGGTTGTGGACATACCGTGTAAGTTACTAAAGCTCAGCTGGCCTCCACCATGGCTGCAGCATGAAATTTCCCGTTTGCTCCACAACCTCCAAATTCAGAGCAAAATTGCCACCAGCTGTGCTCGCAACTAACTTTCTTTCTCCACTGCAAGTGAGGATCGAAACATCTTGGATAATTACATGAATGGAGGACTGACCAACATCAACCCAATCCCTCATAGAGAGGCCACCTGATCTCAAAGATGATCCTGTGTAGCCCAGAAGATGGAATACTGAGACCAGATTGGAGGGCCAGAAACTGTACAGTCAAGACATAACTGTGACTTTAGGAGAAATGTGACCTGAAATTTTTCAGCAGTTTTTAACAGTAATCAATGTTGCAGAAATGAGGTAAGTAGTATGATTTCAGTTCCTGGAACACTTTGCTCTCTTTTTCATTCAATATCTTTGCACATACCATTCCCTCTGCCATCTCCCAACTCCACTGGGTCAACTCCTGCTCATCCTTCAAAACCCAAAGCAATGTCTTCTCAGTGAAGTCTTCCACTATTCCCAAAGCAGAATTAGGTATTCCCTACCTGTAATGTATTGTATATAAAATATAATATATTATAGATGGACATTTAATACTTATCACATTAAAGTATAAGAAACAGTAAGAAGGGGAGAAAATAACATGAGATTTGGGGTTACTGATAAGAGACTCCATATCCCAATTTCTCCATTTACAAGCTCTGTCCTTGAGCAAATTGCCCAATATTCCTGATTCTTAGTAAAATTCCATCCATAAAATGGGGGTGATAATGTCTATTTTAGAAAATTCTAGTGAAGATGATGTGAGATTGGCTAATAAAACCCTCAGCATTGTGCCTGGCCCAGTAAGTCAGTCCTCTTCCCTTTCTCTTGCATCTTTCCTCCAAAGGCGTGCCTTTCACCTTCGTGCCCTTGATGTTGAGCGCGAAACCTGGAACACACCAGAGATTTAATGCAGGCAACCATGCAATGCATGTGATAACTAAGGACAAATGAGGGCCAGTTTTTAATTCTTAGAATGTCAGGCCCAGAAAGGGCCCTAAACTGATGATCAATGCAGAGGAGTTCAGAGACGGGCAGCAGCAGGGCCCCAGCGACCCCCACTCCTGCTCGCAGGCCAGGCCTGCCCGCTAGTTCTCACAGCCAGCGCATGCTCACCTGCTTCTAGGGGTTGCAGACAGGCCTGCAGGCCTTCCTGGGGTGCATTTCAGCTGACCTCCTTCCACCTGGACCTGGAGAGCAGGACCAGTTTTTGTGGCTGCCTTTCTATGAATCCTGTCCAGCTATTTGTGGTTAAGGGCAATTTCTCATCATCCACACTAATATGGCTTCATTCAAATTGGAAATGATAGATGATTAACAGGCACGAGAAAACATGTTGTGCTACATTCAGAAAGGATGCAAATGACAAAAACATGTTGCCTTCTGGACAGGCAGGGAAATGGCATATAGCAGAATGCGCCCGGCTCCTTGCACCTCCGTGTCTGGCTAGACGGTTTTATGGCATTTAGCAGCACTGTGCGAAGGCACCCACGGCATACCATAATTCTCACAAAACAGCGTTTTCATGTGCTAATGGCAGCTGAATCAGAAACACATGGATTTAATTTCCTTCAAAATACCCACGGGTATAAAAATCAATGCAGGAAAGCCATTTGGCTAACTATATTTGGGGCTTTTCTGAGCCCAAAAATTGTGAGAAATTGTTGGAAATGGCTGCCGAGCCCAAAACCCCACAGGCTCAGCCCTCCCCAAGCGCGGCCCCGGCCTAATGTGATGTGAAGCCCCGGCTGTCTTTTTGGAGAGAGGCAGGTGCGTGCTGTGTGGTACCTTACCGGCTGCCATCTCTACAGATTTCCTGCTTTGTGCTATTAGTTCATTTGCTCAGCCTCTCCCACCACACTGCCGTCAGGGAGATCTCATTTTGGCAGCAGATCGGGATCCCTGCCTGAAAGTTGATAGAGGTTGAGCTATTTGCAGAAATAATGCTTTCCAGACGTACTAAACAGTACCCCTCTTTCCAGATGGAGTGGCATTAGTGTTGCTTCCAGCCATTTCCTCACCTTCTGGTATACTTGTCAGTTCTCCCATATGCACCACAAGCCTTCTGTATTCTGGGGAATCTCAGAAAACTGCTCAGACCCTCAGCTTCTCACCACTTGCACGCACAAATGCACACGCTCACACGCGCTGATACAGCCTCCCTCTTATGTATGCACATACAGCTTTCTTCCACCACCCCTTGGGAGTCAACTTAGATTTGGCGAGAGAGCTAATCACTGAAAGTGATAGTTTAGGTGCTCAGGGAATTAGACAGGCATGAATACATGGGACATCAAAGAAGTCCCTTGGTTGGTGGATATTTCCACCATCAGTAGCCATCAGCGACGTTGTTATTCACATTGCCTTTTAGTGGCCTGTAGTCTTAATGTCAGAGAGAGCCCTTGGTGAAGAAGCTGCTCCCTGATCCAAGATAAACCTCTTAAGAGCTGGATTAAGTCCATTTGTGTTATGGCCCGTAAGACACTCTGGATTGCAGGACCTCAGAACGTCACGCCCATGCGCTACAGGTTGAGTATTCCTTATCTGAAATGTTTCAGGCCAGAAGTGTTTTGGATTTTGGAATTTGGGGATTTTGGAAGATTTGCATATACATAATGAGCCGAATTGGAGACGGGACCCAAGTCTAAACACAAAATTTATGTTTCCTATACATCTTATACACATAGCCTGAAGGTAATTTTATACACTATATTTAATAATTTTGTGCCTGAGACAAAGTTTATGTACATTGAATCATCAGAAAACAAAAGTGTCACTATCTCATGTTAGCGCTCAAAAATTTTCACATTTTAGAGCATTTTGGATTTTGGGTTTTCAGATTAGGAATATTCAACCTGTATTTCTTTATTGAGAAACCCCCCAGCTCACCATATTTTCTTAATTCTGATAGTGTAATCACGCTCAGGCCAGACACTAGGTGCTTCAGCCAGGTCATGTGCTGCAGGGGCCCCAGTACTACACTCCACCCTCCCGCCGTCAGTCTTGAGGGTCAGATGGAGTTGGGGGCCACATGGCAGGGGTCTGTGTGGGGGGCGAGCAGGGAAGACCAGGATGGAATCTTTCTGCCAATAAGACCTCCTTTGCTTTGCCATTCAGTCTTCCTTTCTCATTCCTTCTCGAAGCCCAGCGCTCCTGTTTGAGGGAGAAGGGGTGGGTGGGGGAGGGGGCGTTGCGCGTGTGTGTCCGGCCCCCCTCCCCACGGCTCGCATTGCTCAGTTTGCCTCACTTTTGTCCCTGAGTATGCTCAGGATGGCAAAGCTCCTCCAAAAATCTCACAGAAGAAAGACCCACGTGTCCTGGAGCAGACACAGCAGCTTCTGAAGAAAGCCTGACATTGGAACCTCTGAAGGCCACTACATACTGGGAAAGGCAGGTTAAGCATCTGAGCCCAATTGCTAAACACAATTAAAACAACAAAAAAACAGAAAAAATCCATTTAACAAATTCAAGCCATTGGATACAACTGGCACATTCCTCTTTACCTCAACTCTTCAATTACTGCTCAGAATCGGTATATTCTGTGTGACCTTGAACAAGTTACTTAACCTCTCTGTGCCTCAGAGTCTTCACTCAGGCTAACACTGGCAAACACCTCATAGGCTTGTTGTGAGGATTACATGAGCTAAGGCGTGTAAAGTACCTAGGACAAGCTTGGAGTGTAGCAAGGGATCTCTAAGTGTAGGCTTATCACCAAACCACGAATTTTCTCTCTACCTCCAGAAAAACTCACTTCCTAGTACTTCCCATGCTTTTAAGGACCAAAAAGACCTTGGCTCTCAACCCTGCAACTGCCACTGGTAGATCTGCTATTTCTAAACACTCCTGGGTGTTGTGGTCATTGGCTTTCATGTCCTTGCCGAGTAAACTGAGTCACTGATGGTTGGTCCCTCACAATGAGCTACTTCCTCTTCTGCAAGGCACACTTCTGGTCATCTTAAGGAAGACCTCACACCTTCTAGCCTAATTTCTTGATCCCACGTGTACTGATCTCGCTAGAATGACAGAGATAGGATCGTTTTGCAATTGTTGTACCCAACTGTGCTATGTCCTTCCAACCAGGAAAAAGCGACCTTAACAATCAAATAATCGCTCCATCTAATCCACTGTGCCTCTTTCCACCTTGATCAAGTCTTCATATGCCTTACCCCTTTCTTACTCAAAGCTTTACAGTTTGCCACATGTTCTTCAAAGTCCTACACTTTTTTCTTTGATCAGTCAAAACACATAAAAACAACAACAAAAGACTTTTTACAAGTTACAGTGATTTCTTTAAACATTTCAAAATGCATTTTGTCGCTTGATTGATATGTATGCACAGTTTAAAGGTGCAAATCAACTGTTTCACGTTCATTTCCTTGAGGCCCACACTCCTTCGTTCCTGGAAGTCCCAAAGAGCAAAACATCACCCTCCCTAATTCTTTTTGCTACTGCCGTTGATAAAAGGAAAGGAAATGTGTTAGTCACCACCCATCAACTCGGGCTTCCGATTACATCGCGAAACATGCTCATTAAAGCAGGTATGGGGTGCCGAGCAGAGAGGAGGGGTTTCCACGTAGCCCGTGGTGATGGGAGTCATGGGTTGATCAGCATGACACACCGGCTCCACAAGGGAGAATACCTTAAACAATTCCATCAACACTGATTTACTTTAACCAGGTGATATTTTAATGAGCCAACCTCCGTGCTCCCTGGATGACATGACTTCTCAAACTAAGAGAGCACACCACCTTCACAAGGAAAAAACACCACTAAAAAAGCCAGAGAGTTGACACTTGCAGATGAGTCTAATTCCCTTTGTCCTGTGGATATGCGCCGCGTTGGGAGAGCTCCAAGTGCATCGAGCTGATTTTTGCTGTCATCAGAACTGACCCTCGGTCCCCCAGGAGGCCCGAGGCCTGTCTGCTACAATGACAGAGATAGGAGCCAAGCTTCAGCGTGGGGTCCTCAGATGTGCCGCACAACAGGCCACGTCCAACCTTGGCGAGGGCAGCTGGAGCACATGAATTTTTAAAAGTAACACAACTGATTTGGAGGGGAGGAAACGGGAGGAGGGGGATATATTCTTGCTTTTTCCCCCTCCGAAATCCCCGTGGAGGAAATCCATGGAGCAGCATGTTGATTTTGGCATCGACACACACGGTGCCTCTGTTCTGAAGATGAGCTGACATGTGCAGATTTGCAGATCAGCCATTTCAAAAGGTTAATTAAATATTACCATTGTTTTCCAAGCTATAATGTATGTTCTTTTATTTCTTCATGTGAAAGGTTTCACCCCACTCAAAAATCAGGGCCTGAATTTGCTTCCCAGTCCCTTCCCCTTTTGAAACCTGGAAAGGGGCCGAGAAGAGAGAGGGAGAGAGAGAGAGAGAGAGAGAGAGACTGAGAGAAGACCAAGCAGAGACTCTCAGGCCAGAGGCAAAATGCAGCCGGGAGCTGGGGAAGGAGAAACCAAAGCCCTGAAACACTCTCAGCTCCAGCTGGGTGTCAGAATCTCATCATTCAAAGAAGGTTCTATACAGGGGCCAGGAAGGACCCCACACACACTCTCCACCTTTATTTATTTGTGACATAACTGGCCGCACTGTAGCTCAGGGACATCGCACGGCTTGGCCTTCAGTGGTTCCGGGACTGGGTCTGCTAAATAGCCAGCAAGGACCCAGGCAGGAGCACGGCCCCTTTGGCCATGTCTGTCTGTCCCCGCCACCTCCACATGACGCCGGTTCTCTCCCTGCCTGGGATGTCCTGACGCTGGTAGCACAAGGGCCTGGGGCAAATGGCAGCCGGATTCCAAGATGGAAGGCAAAGGATAATAAGACAGAGGTCAGGGAGAGGACAAGGTTCCCTCCGGCAGGAAGTGCCACCCTCTGTGACTGCAGTTTACAAGAATCCTGAGCTGCGATGAGCACAGCAGTGTGCAGGAAATCTCTGCAGACAACCCATCTTCCAGGCCGAGCAGGACATGTTTTGTTTGCAAAGTAATAATGCCTCCCTAGATGTGGGAGGAAGCAGCTAACCTACAGTGTAATGAATGAAAAACAAAGGCACGGGGTGCAGACAGGTGATGATGGAGGGGGTGGGGGCTGGCACAGATGGGAAGAGGAGGGGAGCACTGGCGCAGTGGGCAGAGCGCGCCTGCAATGCTGCGCAGGACACTTACCCAGAAACGTCAAAACGTGGGCCGCAATTGCCCGCCCATGCACATGTCCTGCCGCTGAAACCTCAGCCTCTGAGGGCCACGTGGCAGAGCAACATGGCCCTGGCAAATGCAGACTTTGCCGGCTGAAGATCAGGGTTCAAGGCCATCTCCATCATCCTCTGGCTGGATCTCCTTAAATATCAATTTCTTAACGTCTCCAGTTTTTATCTGCAAAATGCAAATAAATATTGCTGCACCGTAGAGTTGTTAAAATGATAAAAAGAGGAAAAAGATATGTAAGGTGCCCTATATATAGTAAATGCTCTTTAAATGGGAGGAGAGGGAGCAGAGTGGGCAGAGAGCTTGGGAAAGCGCAGGGGGAAAGAGGGGGCCCCAGGAGGGGAGGGAAAATGAAGGAGGGCAGGGGACCCAGAATGGAAGGCCCAGGAAATGCAAGGGAGGAGAGGAGGACACAGGAAGGGGAGGGCCTGGATACTTTTGCCCTTACAGAGCCATCAGTTAAGCATCCCAGGATGTCCAGGGTCCCTGAATGAGCCAACTCCAGTCCCCGGTGGGCCTGACCTCGTGTCTTCTCTGCTGCACCTGCCCCAACCCATGCCCTTGCTGCATGGTACTCCTTGACACACTGGTCATCCCACCCAGAGCCGAGCCCCTGCACTGCGTGAGGCTTGGCAGGGATGGGGCAGGCTGGAATGGAAGGCACCAAAGGTAAAGGGACGTTTGCATAGGCTCAAGCCATGAAGAAGTAGAAAGGACAAGCACATAGGTGTCCTCTCCAGAGACAAGTGCTACCATGGGAGCGCAGTAGTGGTGACTGGGGGACAGATGTGGAAGGAAGATCATGTAACACATATGGGGGACTTTGAGCGAATCTGTGCCACCCAGGTGTGTCCTGCCACCTAATGTGTGCCCAGATGCATTGGACAAGCCCGGACTAGGAACCCAGAGAGCTAGCAAACAACGGCAGAGAACCTCGGAGGGCTGTGCTATCGAGTAAGGGCATGCTCAGGAGGGCAGCCAGGGCGTGGGAGAGCTGGTGGGACACCTGTCTAAGCAGGGCAGGTGTGGGCACCCATCGGACTGCCTGCTCGGCATGATTAACCCCCAGCCTCAACCCCAGCCCCAGCAAGCGGGCAGCAGTAAGGACATGAGCTGGCCCATTCACTCACGGATGTAAGGGTAGACAGCCACAAGTCCCTGCCTCTAGGCTCTATGGGCAGACGAGGGATACCAAACTTGGCAAATAAAAATACAGGCCATCCAGTTAAATTTGAATTCCAGATAAACAGTGCATACCTTTTTATTATAAGCATATCCCATGCAACCTTTGGGACATGCCTATAACATAAAAATGATGAGTTACTTCTGTGAAATTCTAATTTATCTGAGTATCTTGTATTTTATTTATCAACACTACTCCTGGCCCAAACTGGGCCCTCGAGAGAGTGTTTTCTACAGGATGCAATTAAAAGAGAACTGATTCTGCCTCTCTCTAGGGGCTGACAGTGCAAGGTGTTTTCTTCCACATGAAGAGGGCCAGCCTACCAAGGGAGAAAACAAGATGAAGTCTGAAGACACAGACTAGCAAGAGTGCAGGTGGCATTTGAGGCCAGGTTTGAGTCTCCTCCCTGCCCATCCTACAGCTTGGTAATTCCACTCTCTGTGGGCTGACCCCCTACTCCCTGCCCACCCCCACCCCAGCTCCTGTGGCCAGGGGAGAAACAGGGGTATTTTAATTCATCAGCTCGATGGTAATAAAGTTAAGCAAATGTATCTTTGACACAATAAGACCAGGGTTACTATGTTACATGCTACATGGTCAAAGCCATATTATCACAAGAAATATCATTTCTTATATAGACCAGGTGGGGTATTTTTCAAAAGGAAATCAATCTTTAGGATGACGACTTATGTTTCATTTCAGAAACTTTAGGAGAACATAAGCTGGAGTTGAAACACACACGTTTCTTCCTGACACCCTGTCCACAGTGTCAGAAGTTTCCCTGTAAACCAAGCGGAAAAGCTCACTGGTAGCTCTTAGATACCTGAAGTGCCTAAAATTTGTGTGACAAAATATTTATAATAAGTAATAGATATTGGGTTCATGTCCTATAAAAATGTCCCACAAACCAGTATGAAAAAACACTATCAGCATCTCCCAAAAGTGAACAAGGAGATTATTTCCAAAAGAAATATAAATATCTGATAAACATATGAAAAAAATGTTCAACCTCATTAAGAAGCAATTATATAAAAACAAAACCAGAAAAATACCCTTTTTATTAATAGATTGTTAAATTGGCAGATTAAGAAAATCAATTGTACCAAATGCTGGCAAGGGTACATACAATAGAGCGCCTATTGTATGTATATCCCTAATATACAAAGAACGTGTACAAAATAATAAGTGATAAAGAGCCCAATAGAAGAAATGGGCAAAAGGGTTGAACAGATAATTCACAGAAGCGGTGCAAGACAGATTAGGCATAGATATAGATACAGATATAAAGACTTAGATTTAGACAAATGTTCCCCACGACAATCAGCGAAGAACAAAGCAAAACAAGATACCAGTTCTTGGCCTATGATACCATAAATACAGATATCTTCTGTTTCTGGGAAGGGTTTGGAGAAACAGCCAGTCTCTCACAAACTGTTAGTGGGAATAAACAGTCCTACAGCATTTTTTGGAGGGTAACTCAGCAGTATTGGTTAAAGGCACCTGAAATTTCTGATGTCTCTATATTTTTTCCTTGAAGATAGAAAACTATTGTTTCCCCTCCTCCTCCTAAAAGTAAATTCCTGCTGGTTATGGTGGTGTGCTCCTGTAGTCCCAGCTACCTGGGAGGCTGAGGCAGGAGGATCACTTAGCCGGAGAGTTAAAGGCTGCAGTGAGCTAGGATCACACACACCTGCAAATAGCCACTGCACTCCAGCCTGGACAACATAGCAAGACACCATCTCTTAAAAAAAAAAATGTAACTCCTAATTCTTTCTGTCTCGGGAAATAATCATTGCTCCATGGTCTTCTTCTCTTCTCTAATTTAAAAACCAAGATTTTTAAAAAATCTTCTAATAGGGGAGTTATTTTCCCTATGTTTTAATCCATTTTATCTTTATTGCAGGCAGTCCGATGAATCATCTGTCATTTTTTAACATTCCATTATGAGTGTGGTGACCAATCTGGGTGCCATACTCTTCTTACAAAACAAAGATTAAAGGCCCAGGACTGTAACAAAGTAATGATGGATTCTGCAACAAGGGGAAAATAGCGATTGTGTCTGAGGGGAAGAGGACCTACATCCTGTGCATCCAAGTCACCCTGCTAATATCTGACCGCTTCCTCCTCTTCCTTCCTTGGAATTCTTCCCACTGCCCCTTCAGCTGAGCACATATTCCCTCCTTCAAGGTTTCCTTCGTCCTGGGCAGGAGTCCCTGCGCTTGGAATCCTGCCCCATCCCATCCTGTCAAGCTGTCTCCTGCAATCATTCTAGCAGCTCCTGAAATCCCGCTTCCTCCACAAAGCCCTCCCCAGCTGAGAGCAAAGTGATTTTCCTCCAGCTTCCCACCTGTTCTGCCATGCAGCTCCCTCCCCCCTTCCCTCCTCGGTACCGAACGGCGGCGGTGTGTTCAATGATGTCCTGTCCACTAAATGGCTGCTGCCGCGTCCTGCACGCCCTTTGCCACGCCGGTCTGCATCCACGATGGCAGATGCCCGTGTTTATAAATGTGTTTTGCTGGTATCAGCAGTACGGGAGAACCGTGTGGTGGCTGTTTGTGTTCTGGGGAGATGACCTTGCAGAGCATCACCAAGTTCAAATTTCCGTGGCTTGGTAAATGAGGCTGGCATTTAGGGTCAAGTCTGCTCTCTGTGAGACTTCCTTGAACCTTTCTGTGCCTGTCTCACGTTTCCCTGGGATGGAGTAATGCTGACTTAAACCAGCAAGATCTGAAAACTAAACCAATGACAGTGACTTGAGTGCAACCGAGGACTTGATTTCTCTTTAAATGGTTAAAAATGCTGCCAACAACCAAACGTAAATATTAGAATCCACCTTCCCACAATAATAGCTTCCTCTTCCATGATTCAGCAGCACTTTGAACCGGATTCCACAAGATCAGAAATCTGGTATGCAGGACTACAAAAACACCTTCAGTTGCTAAAATAGATGGGAGGTTTTTTAAATCTTCTTTTAGACTTATCTATATCCACCATTCAAATTAATTTCACACCCTTTTTCCTTTTTCATCTTTGGGGAAAATGTTCGTTTTTATACTTTTCTCCTAATGTCAAAAAAAGTTTCCTTCTACTTCTGAGAATCTCGAGATATTTTTCTGATAAAGAGGAAAACAAATGTGTTCAAATCAAGGCGCCCAGGGAGGACCGAGTCACTGCAGTACTGAGTCAAATCCTCTGCAGCTTCCATGAACTGGTGGCTCAAATAGTAACAGGCGACATGAAACCGGAGAATGCAGGAATCACTGGATTTCCCCACTCAATTATTTCACCCTTAATTTCCTGAAGTGTTGTGTGAATTTTTGAGAGCCACATTTTGAACCCTTTATAGTTTAAGGTGAGATACAAAGACATTTTTTGCATTATCACATAAACTTATATTCTCTGGTCAGCAGCACTATGGAAGAGCAAAGGACTCCCCCTCCTCTGTACCAGAACAAGAGAAACAGGACAAGCTCAGGCTCCAAACCTCTGGTCCATGCCAGTGTTGTTTTTTGGTGTGATACAGACACCGACAGAAAGATCCCAAGTAGGCCAAACAGTAATACACAATAAATTATAGATGCTGGAAAACTGAAGCACATTATGCTTCAGCATCTCTGCCTTCTAATAAACCAAAGGGGATGAGATGCCCTTCTTCATCTGTCTGCCTACGACTGTCTGTTCGTTCACACCCGCTGTGTCCTGGGTCACCTGCACAGGCCCTCAGCAGGCAGGCTGTAAAAGCAGGTGAGTGGCCGCTGACTGCTAAACCCTGCCCCCTCCTCCTCCGGCCATCCGATCTGGTCCAAGGGCATCCTTGGGAGTGGGGAGAGATGAGGAATGGTTCTCCTCTCGGTGGCAAGGAGAGGCGGTGAAAAACCGCAGGTCCCAGTCTCTGCAGAGCCTTTGTCAGCGTCAAGGGCTCTCTCCCTCCCACTCCAGGCAGACAATCCCTTCCCCAAATCCAGAAGATCAGCAATAATTGATT